TTAGTCTTTAAGGTGCCACCAGACTCCTTGTTTTGTAGGCTAAAACAGCATCTATCCAATGATGTTTCCCCCACCCCCAATGTTAAACAATCTCTAGCTGAGATTAATTTTGAGGAATGTTGGTTTGAAACCAGCATAGGAAGGTCCTGGTTTAAAAGCCTAGTTGGAAAAGGCAGTGGGTTTTTTAGGGAGAGGGTAGCAATGGAAAAGGCATTGCATAGCTTGACTAATAAATGGCAAGGAACTCAATGGCTCAATCTCTGGAGTCAGCATTGCACAGGTTATTAAAGGTATTAGTTTAGTCTTCCATTTGCAGTTGGGCTAGTGGATCCCTTGGGGGCATGAGGCTATGAACTATCAAAGTAGCTGCTACCTTAATTAGGGAGGACTGCAGACTAAAGCAACTACTGTATCTCCTAATTCTTCACAGCTGAGCTGCCATGATGAGATTGCCCATGATAAATCATGGAGCAGGACCACCACATATGGATAAGTCTTCAGGGCAAGAAACAACAATGGCTTCCCTAAGAAGGCAAAAAAGCACCATGAGAGTAACCCCATGCCCTGCCACTGCCTTAGTGACTGTTGCCAAAGGGCATAGATGGCAAATCATATTGGCTACAGTCACCTGCTTCCTTGCTTGCACCATTGCATGTAATGAAGGGTCTTCAGCTACTCCTTGTCAGAACCCTCTTGGCACTGTGCGTACATCTTCACCCTTGCAGCCTGACTTATTGCTATCCCAGAATGCTACTGGTGGCATCTTGATGAAATCCAACAACTACTTACTGAACCACATTGTAAAAGGGCAAACTGGCTTGCATGCTGCTGGGGAAAAACATGCTAGAAGCTTACAGGCAGACTCTGTAGGCACCACAGACCAACTAAGCCTCCCAGAAGCCAAAGGGAGTGACTTAAGCCAGATCTCTGCATTTGCGTTCAAGCTTGATGGAAAAGGGAGCCTGCATTATAAATCAGGAGCTGCCAAGAAAGAGAAGAATGGCATTGACACTTCTCTGGCTCTTGATGCGCTAGCTAAAATTACAGGCTTCTCTTCTATGCGTTCCCCTAAGGGGCTACAGACCTCCTCTAAGGAGGACCTGATGGTCTCCCCACATGCATCCAAAGCAATAGAAGTTGATACAATGGACTCTAATTATCCTGCAACAGTACCTGGTCCTCTGTCCCAAGCACCATCACTTCTGACAGATGTGGACTTCTTGCAGTATGATCCATTGCACTCTGCTCCAAAGGCATCTGCACAGCCCCTAAAAGTTTCTCCAGATACTGCCTCTGTTGCTCAGTTAAGGCCAAACTCCAGCTTGATGGAACAAGCTGCTGCAGACAGTCTCACTAGTGAGGCATGGGGTCTGTATAAAATGACCCACTTTGCCACACTAATTGCTCCTAGCACTAGCCTAGATCAGAGGGCCACTAGTGTCTTGCCTAAATTCCTGAACTCTGCACTTCAGACCTATAGGGCTAGCCAGGAACCTTCCTATTTAATGTCACTGACCACAAGTCCTACCATGCCAGCCAGCCCAGCTGATGTTCCCACACAGAATAACCTAACCATGAGGACCAACTTCCCACAGTCCACATCTCTGGAAGCAACTAATGTTGGCCCTGCAGAACTGATGGCCAGTAGGTGGCCAGGTTCTTCCCCCATATCAAGTGGTGTGGCTGCTCATGAAACTGTGGAGCCAGTATGGCTTGGTACTGTCCCTGGGACACAGCCAGGGTCTCTAACTCCATCCCTTCCTTCAGGAGAAAGTTTCTTGGACACATCCCCCAGTGTAACCATGCCCAACCAGGAACACAATCCCTCGGAACTATCTGATGTGACTAAATTCACATTGAGTGCTCTTCCTGTTAGCATGTCACAATCCACTAACCTGCTCCCAGTATCTATGGCAAGACTGCCCTCTGCCAAACCAATGGCCAGCACCTCTGCTTCTGCACCATTGCATGTGAGTGACCTGAGCTACTTCACAGAGCATCCATCTCCTGGGCCCCCTACTGTCCCAGACACCTTAGCAGGCCCCACTGAAGGGGTAGAGACTGAGGAGCAGCTTACTGCAGCTGTACTGATGGCTGTCACACCCACTGTTAGAGAGTCAACTGGTTGGCCAACACTACCTGTACATGTCGGGACTACTGCACAATCGCATCCCCCATCTGGTTCGCCAGCCTCACCATTAAAGGGAACTCTTGCTAGTATGGTGCATTCAAGTTCAGTAGAAGTTTCATCTGGGTTTCCTTCACAGAGTGGTGTAGGGACAGATCTCCCTAGTCCTCTGTCGGGACACAGAGGAACCAGGGCTCTCATACCCTCAGTTCTCAAGCCAGCCACTGCTGGGCTGGGTCAGCCACTAGTTCTAACTACTAGTTTATCAGGATTATCAGACATTCCAGCTGATCTTGAGACACCAAGCTCTCTGGTGCTGGAAGAGACCTCTCCTGAGGCCTCTTCAGAACACTCCATTCTCCCTCGAATCCCTCATAGTCTAGTAACTAGCGCTAACACTTTCACTGATGCTGCAGTCAGTGATATGACTCAGCTGACTGGAGGTGTTACAGAGGGTCCCCCTTCAATTGCAGCTAGAGTTGGCCTTTCCTCAGCCACACATCCCCTTGATCATCTCAAACTTGATGCAGAGACTGCCAGCACTTCCTCTACAGAGAGAATCCTGCCAATGGGACAGCTGGGTCATAGACTGAAAGAGCACACTACTGAAATGGCATGTGCTGGCTCGGATTCCACTAGTTGTCTAACCTGGGTGTCTACTGACCTTAATACAGCTGTGGAACAAAAAGGTTCTCCAAGCCTTGCTATTACACATGCTCCTGCCAATCTAACAATAGTTTCTCCCTCTCGGGAATCAATGAGAGGTGTCTCCTCCAAGCCAGACACTCCAGTTGCTGGTACCAGTCAGGCTTTGACCTACTCCACAGTCCTGACTAGTGTGAAGAGTATTGCAGGCTTCCTGCATGAAGACACTGCAGCCTATTCTCTATCCCATATGCTGCCTATTAGCAAAGGCCCTAGAACTCAGTCCAGTATTTCTGCTTGCTGCCCTGAGACATCCCCTAGTGTCTCAGGAGCCAGTACAGCTGCAAACATCACTAGTGCCACCCTCTACAGGGAATTCACTAAAACAGTGAAGTTCCTTGATAAAGAGCAGACGCCAGCAACTGCTGAAGTAGTGGCTAAATCACCTACTGGCACCTCAGACCTCCCACTCAGAGCTTCAAGTGATGCTCCAACTACAGAGCTGCTTTCCAGTTCAAGTTCAACAAGGCCACAAGCTCAACCAGCACGTAAGCATTATTCGCTCCGTAGACCAGGAATGAGAAGAAGGCTGTCCACCCCAGCTGACTCAGTCTTATCCCACTCAACCACATCTCTGCCTAGTGGGACAGACGTCCAGCCAAGGCCAAAGGTGCACACTTCTCCACAGAATAAGAGCTTCCCTATGTTGCCCTCTAAAACAAGTAGTGATACAAGTGTCATAATGGAGACTGATGCAAATGTCACCCATTCCACTCCCTGGTACCTAAACAGAACAGGGCTAGCATTGCTTGCTGGCTCAACCCCTATTGGAATTGAACATACTCCAGTGCCTATAACAGCAGCACGTGTCCCAGTAGCCTCCACTACAGCTGCATCATCCAAATGGAAGCCCATATCAGCAACTCTGGGAGAGCACAAAATCCCAAGTGTGTCTACAAAGGCTGCAAACTTCAGTGGGTTGGCCTCTGCTGAGTCTCCAGTCACTGCTATGGCACCTGCTGTTGGGTTGACCTCCACAAGCATAGCTGTGTCCAAGGCTACACCAGTCAAAAACAGAACAGCTGCTCCATTGCCATCACCTCCAGCACAAAGTACAACTACACTACTTGCTAGTATAAACCTTACACAGTCTTCTGGGCCCAAAGCTCCCATTTTCCAGTCCCTCACTGAAGCCAAACCTAGTGTGATGACTTCCCTTCATAGTACCCCCAGCATTCCACCCACAATAAAGACCACTGCCCTGCTGACTAGTGCCAGAACTTCAACCACAGCTGGCCTGCAGCTTCCTACTGTACCAAAGCCAACTAGGCTGCTGCCTTGGAACAAAACCACTGTATCACCATTGCTTATACCTCCATCAACCTTATCCACCCACTTGCTGCTAATCTCCCAACACCTTTCAACAGCTAAAACAGACCTTAGTGTATTAATTAAGACAATGGCTGCAAAAAAGAACTTAACCACAGCTGCAGTGACTGCCAGGCAGGTGGCTACAATCAAAACTGGTATCACTTCAAAGCCGATGCTGCCTGAATCGAAGGTTCCAACACTGAGCTTCTCCCCAGAGGGAAAGACTGGGTCTGCACATAGACCTACATCACCTTCACTTCAGTTGCCTGTGCATATCCTACCTCTGCAGTTCTGTCTCATAAGAATCGCTTACACAGAACTCCTGAAGAACAAGTCTTCTGACGATTACAAGAAGCTGGAGAAGGAAGTGACGTTAACTGTAAGTAGAACTCCTGAAAGTGTTTAGAATTTAGAGAAGTCAGCCAGTTACTAGAGCTGAACTTGGCTTCTCTGGTTGCCAGGCTGCAACTGAGTAGCTACTTGTTTTCAGCTCATGTTGGCTATGAAGACTCCTCCCTTGAGGAAAGGTCTATCTAGCCCATAAGGATCCTAAGTAGGATTCCTGAGGTGGTGGTGAACTAATACCCAGCCATATCAGACTGGCATCTTTAATGAGTATCCAGTGCACATACTTCTACCATTGAACAGCCACAAGTTTGGCTTTAGTCATGATCAACACTACCCAGATGCAGACAAGCTGTCTGTAAGCAAGGGGCTTTGTCCTCCCAAATGATCCACTCATCTTATGATGAGGAAGGTAGCTCTAATGCTTGGAACACAATACTTGGACTGTGGTAAGGCAAATTCTTCTATGCATGGCATTTCCTACTAATCCTTCAGACCCACATGGACTCTACACTTCCACAACCCGCCACTCTCCCCCTGCCAGACTCTGTGCTTATCTATTAGTCTCATTTGAACCTCTGCTTCACTTCCCAGTCCAAGAACAACTAGTGTCGTTGACTTCACTTCCTGGCTCTGTGCAAAAGAGTCCAGGTTCCTACAAGTCCAAACACACTTCCAGTAAGCCCTTGCTATTCATAGTGAAGTAGCTGTTGTGAAAATCTGTGTCCTTAACCAGTGGCTTTTCTTGTTTTCAGCTAAACAAGATGTTATCCAGCTATAAGAACTTTCTCAAAGCAAACATTCTCCAGTTTTTGTGAGTATCTTACACAACACACACCAGGCCTCTGAGGAAGGCAACACCTTTCTCTGAGAAATACTAGGCTTTTAAACATGCTGTGCATAGATTCCATTGCAGCTTGTATCTGTAAGCTATGCAGGGAAGAGGGTAAGCCTCAGGTGGGGAGTAACACTATAGATAAAGTACTTCAGGTTGTCTTGCTTCCCATCCCATTCAGATGGGATAACTTACCAAGTCACCCAACAGAAACAGGTTGGGTACACAGTGATGGAAATTGTCTACTAGAACAGACAGTAGGTGGCTATTGGCTGACAAATGCCTTGGGGAATACCAAGTTCCAGCTTTAAGCTGGTGTTCCTTTGGAATAGCCTCTCTAAAGCGACGTGACTTGTGTTTGCACAATACCTGATACAATCCTATCCTGCTACTAAACACTTCTAATCTAGCTGTCTCCCTGGCCTCTCACAGGAACGGCTCAGTCATTGTTGAGAGTGAGGTTCTATTCCAGAGAGATGGCCCTGCTCCCACAAACTCTGACCTCATCCGTACAGTTGTCACAGAAGTAGAAAGGAAAATGGACACCTTTTTTGGCTGGAGAGTAGATATCAAGTCTGTCAGGTCAAATGGTAAGCACCTAGTCATTGTAACACAATACAGTGCCCAGCAGCAGGGTAGAGCTCCCACTACCACTCCTCCCTATTCCCAGATGGCTGCAGGAACAGTCCAGCCTGCCCTTCAATAACCAAGCCACGTGGCATGTGCCTCCCAGAGGTGGCTTCTGCAATCTCCACATTGATGGGAAGGGGTGTTGTCTCTCCATTAGGCATACGCCATCTATTTGGAGACTACTGTACCATGTTTCTTTATAACCATCCAGTGTCATGAGTAAACTGCATTTGCTGCACTAACAGTGATAGGGATGCTTTCACAGCATGCTGCATTTTGCTTCAAGGAAAATATCCGAGTAGCATGCCCTTCCTGTGGGTTCTCCATCCCTGAGATGGAGCATGTCTCCTGCCACCTCAGACTTGTTGGTACCCCATGCACTCTCCCACTCTGGCCAAAACTTTACCTCCCCACAAATTAAAACAGTGGGTCTTCTAGTTTGGGCTTCAGGCCCAATGCCTGTGTACTGCTTGAACATCAGCTCTCCAGCATTGGACAGACAAGGGAGAGGGTGGCAGAGTAATGGCCTGGTGTCCTGTCTAGGGAATGTTATTGCTCTTCTGCCTCCCTCTTTAGGTTTCAGCCTTGAGAATCTAGAACCAGAAAAGCTGTTGGTCTCATTCACTGCTCTGAGACTTGGCTCGATTGCAGCATTCGGTGGTGTGGGTAGCCAGGGCCCTCTGGACCGACTAAACAATATGGTATGGTAACTATTATGTTGAATCATATGACAATGGACCAGTGTCTCCCTTTATCTCCTGTAAGGGAAGAATGATAACCTCCTGGTTAAGGCATGGGAATGTGGGCTCTTCTGTTACTTTGGGTATGTCCCTCGATATCTGCAAAGTGGGGATAATGCTTGACAATCTTGCAAGGCTGAGTGACTCACTAACTCTAGCAGAGGTCTTAGAGCCCTGCAAATAGAGGCTAGTGAAGACAGTGCCACACAAATCAGAACCATATGGCTGTAGATAGTAAACAGACCACCAGAACTCCAATCTAGTTCCACTGGGGTGAAAGGAAACATTAGCTCAATTACATATCAAGGACTGCAAGAGACAAGAACAGATATTTAGGGGATGGAAACAGCAGCCTAAGTAACTGAATTAGGTATAAGGTTCCTGCTGAATAGTTGCTTCAGAAGATGGGTTGGAGGCTGGCGAAGCTGGGAAACAAATTGTCCCCTTTCTTCTCTGTAGGTGGTTCAGTCTCTGGGGGCCCTGTACAAAGTGAAGAACTTCTCCTTTGTCAGACTCAGGTATGGAAAACTCAAGAGGTGATGGTTCCTTTCAGAGCTCTAGACCTTACTTGGAAGCAAAACATCCAGAAGCAGCCACTTAGCAGTGTGGGGGAGCCGTGGGAGAGCTCTGGGCAGTACTAGGCTAAGTGCAAAGGAGCCAAATAGCCTTCGCTAGACTGCTTTAGGGCACTGGTGGTGGGGGGAGACCCTCTTCTGGGGTGAACCTAATAATCATTCAGCAGCTTCCAACTACCATTGACCACAGGCAGGGCCGGCACAACCCATTAGGCAACCTAGGCGGTCGCTTAGGGCGCTACAATTTGGGGAGCAGCAACTGCTGTGGTATTTCGGCACCAGGACCTTCTGCCGCCTCTGTAGGGGGCAGCATTTTGGGGCGGGACCTTCCAGCGCCTAGGGTGGCAGAAAAGCTGGCGGCACTCCTGATCACAGGAGAGCAGGCCTGAGACTCCCTGAATTGTAGGGCATATAGAGAGCTTGCAATACATCTAGCTACCCACAAGATGAACAGGAGTACTTGTGGCACCTTAGAGACTAACAAATTTATTGGAGCATAGTTTCATGGGCTACTGCCCACTTCTTTGGATGCATATAGAGTAGAACATATATTGAGGAGAGGTGTGTGTGTGTGTACACACACACACACACACACACACACACAGAGCATGAACAGGTGGGAGTTCTCTTACCAACTCTGAGAGGCCAATTAAGTGAACTTTTTTGAAGTGATAATCAAGCTAGCCCAGTACAGACAGTTTAATAAGTGTGAGAATACTTACAAGGGGAGATAGAGTAGCCCACTAATAAATTTGTTACTCTCTAAGGTGCCACAAGTACTCCTGTTCTTTTTGTGGATACAGACTAACATGGCTGCTACTCTGATACCCACAAGATGTCACTAGTATTATCTCTCTGCCAAATACTCCTTCCCTAAGGAAGAGGCAATCCTGGGAGCTCAATGACTTGCTGCTGTTTGTGAGCTAAATGCCTTCTTGATGCAGGAGAGGGTGAAAGGAATGGAAGCAGCAAAGTGGAGGCAAGAATCACTACATACAATTTCATTGTGTTCCATACATAGAACACTGAACCTTCAGGATAGTGGGAGTCATAAAATCATAGAATATCAGGGTTGGAAGGGACCTCAGGAGGTCATGTAGTCCAACCTCCTGCTCAAAGCAGGACCAATCCCCTAGACTTTTTTTTTTTTTTTTTTTACCCCTTAGATCCCTAAATGGCCCCCTCAAGGATTGAACTGACAATCCTGGATTTAGCAGGCCAATGATCAAACCACTGAGCTATCCCTCTCTGGATTGAAACAAACAGGTAGAAAGCAAAGGTCTCCATGCTGTGATGCTAACAGTACTCAGGAAAAGGTGCATCCTGTGAGAACTGCCTCATGTGTCACAATGCAACCTCCTGTGATGAAAGACATCTCAAATGCCTGAAGCCGCATGTTGGACACTGGACTCATTCTAGTTCTAGCACTGGCTCCAACTTAGTCAATAGCTTCTGGCTCTATTGCAATACAAATCCCTCCATACAAAAGCCAATTAAAGGATGAGTAGGGGCATGTATTAATCATCCAGTCTTAGATGCAACTGCTGTGAAATAGTCCCATGCAGGGCTCTTTTGTGTGTGTGTGTGTGTAATCCCACTCCCCAGATTACCTCCCCCATGCTACTAAAAGTCCATTAATATACACATGGAATTCAGACAATTTTTATCACTAAAAGAATAAAGCCTTGCTTAAACCATGTAAAATACTTAACTCTCACAAACAATTTAGCCATTTCCAAGATCAGCTAGTCTTGGTAAACTGACAAGAGATTTAGTGTTTTCCTGCAAATTACCCCAGTCTGTATGTGCGGGGGTTTTTGTTGTTCACGGGATTGGGTGGAAAAAGTACACTTTATGAGCTCCTGCTATTAGGGCAGCAGGTCCTGTGGGATCGCAGTCCTGTTGCGGGGCTCTATTGTGACTTCATAGCAATCCCTGCAGGGATTGCTATCAGAAATTAGTGACTCTTCTGGGTGGCTGCAGTACTGTTCTAGTAACCAACTGAAATGTGGCAGCAAGTGTGCTGTCAAGCCTCCAAACCCTTGCTGGCTCTTACCTTTGTGCCCTGCTAAAACTCTCTTCTCCTTTAGGGATATCAAAGGTGACCTGGAAATCTATGGTGAAGCCTACATTGACACACATGCCCATGCTGATGTCCACCAGGTTCTGCAAGCACTGAGGGGTCTTGTTAACTACTCTGTAGACTTGACATCTCTCTCTGTGGATGGTCAGTATCCTTCCCTCTGGTGCTGTTCCTCTTGGCTGGTAGAGGCCACTAAACATTTATCTAGCTCTGCTCTCTTCCAATTCCAGATTCAAGGCTTAGCTTGCAGGTTTTCCCCATTTCCTTCCTGATCAACAACAGGGCAGTCAATGAGAAACTGCTGGATCACTCTTCTGTGGAACACCAGAACCTCACCAGGGACCTTGCTGATGTGGTAGGCATACCCAGTTTCCAGCCAGTGACCCCAGTGTAATCTGAGAGGCTTCTGGGGATGGAGAGGAGACCCTATAGAATCCCTCTTGAGATCTTTAGGGCAGAAAGGAGGAATCTAGAAAGCATTACTTCAAAGCTTCAGACTAATCCTAAATATAGGCCTTGGACTACTCCTTCTCCTAGCAGATGGAGCACTCTTAACTTGGAATAAAATAGCTAGTGTTTTATCATAATGGGTGCTCCAAGCTTCTGGAAACACTAGTTTCACTAGAGAAACTTGGATGATTACTAGACTCTTGAGGAGGACAGTCTGCTCTTTCTTGTTGCTCACTTAAATGATCACAAAAATCAAACAACTTTGTAAAATTCTATCACAAAAGCTTCAGCTGGAGGGTTGTGGTAGGGAAGGGGAGTTGCAATTAAACACAAGGTCAGCTACATGGCTGCTTCTTAAGACTACACTACTGGAGCATGCTATGCTTAATCAGACTTTACAGTGTCTGAGCTTCAAAGCTTCCTAATGTGGTGTTCTGTAGGTGAGGATTTAGAATTCCAGGCTCCACCTAGAAGATTGACCTGGACTTAAGGCATCTGAGTTACTCCAGACATGTATGTCCTTGCTGGAGCTCCCACAACTCTAACTGGTGGGTGAAGCAACTCTTAAGCCTGGGTCTGACTCCAGCTGAGGAAAGAGTGGTCTGAATGGGGTTGAGCTGGAGACAGATGTTCTGAGTATCTTGTTGGCAGAGGCTTCACAATGGGACAAAATGCCTGTGGGAGGGGAACTAAAGCAGTCTAACTCTGATCCACTCTTCCAGCTGATGCATGCCCTGAAGAAATACCAAGGCCTCCTGCAAGTGGTAATTCGAGACCTCCTGTGAGTAAACACTCTACTTCTGTGTAGGCTGGAACGCCTCTTGTCTGCCTCCTACAAGATGCATTGATTCCCCCTGGTGCCCCAGAAGTCTCTGTATAGGATATACCCTACTAAGGTAGTGATTGGGAAGATGCCAGCTGAAAGTGGCTGACTAAAGCATTTATTTGTGGCGCCTGTTTCTACATCCATTATTGAGACTCCCACCCTACAGTAATTGTGTTTTTGGATCCAAAAAGCATGCCTCCCTCTTCTACCTACTAAGTTCCCACCAACTTCAGTGAGACTCTGGCTAGAAGGTAACAGTTCTCCATAAGAAGCAGTGGATCTTAATTCGCATGCTGCCTAGAGCCTGTGACAATTGGGTGTCTAAGACTGAATGATTCTAGGATGCAGCCCTGGGTTAAAAGCCATGGGTCTGGCTTTCATGTCCAGACAGCCTGTGGCCCTCTGGGTGACTGCTACTGTGCCTCACTGGAATCTATTGCTCTCTCCACAGAAGTGGCTCCCTGATCTGTCATGGCAATGTGGTATTCCAGCATCCTGCCCCAGCCAGTGCAGATGTTCTGCAGACTCTTGTTCTTTCAGTTGGTCCACATGATGTGTTGGCTGGGTCAGGCTTTCAGGTGGACCCATATTCTTTCACAGTGGCAGGTATGACCGCTTGGGGATCTAGCTGAAATACTAGATGTCTTCAGTGGGGTGTTGGTCAAGTTCTAAAGTCTTATCTAGCTGTTCTAACATAGCTGTAGAACAGACCTCCAGTCTGAAACTCTCAGCTCCAAAGCACTAAACTTCAGGAGCAGAACCACAACCCCATGTGGATTGTACTGTACTACTGTTTTACCTGGGGGGAAGCAGCAATTATTTCTTCCCCTGCCACTCAAAACTAAGAGCTGGTCACGCTTCCTGTTGCCAATGGAGGCTTGAGCACCGTGCATAAGGTGGAACTCTAAATTGTTGGCTATGGCAGCTGGCCACACCACTGCTTCAAACAGCCCACAGGGATTGGCTACAAAGAACTACTGGCCTAATGTACCAGTTGATCCTCTTTCATGGAGAGGAAAGAGTACTAGACTGAGCTCCTGGTAGAAGGCAGGAGACTGGGGGAGGGTCTGTAGCTGAGAGACCAGTCTAGAAACTGCCCCTATAAGGGCTACATTCAAATAGCTTAGCTAAAAAGGCTGTGGTGATCACTAGATTGCAAGGGGGGGGGGGGGGGAAGAGGTGCTACTAAAAAAGAATCTGACTTTCTTTGACAGGGCATTGCGTAGTTGCTGTAGAACTAACAATCTCTCTTGACTCTAGATGATCAACTGGAACCTCCCTTTGTGTATCCAAGTTTCCCTGGATATGCTGTGGCAATTATTGTCATGTGTGGCCTTGTTATAATTGCCATTCCCATTGTGGCTCTGCTGGTAAGGTGGCAGTAATACTTATCATGCCTTCTGCCAGAGGCTATGCTTACTATCTGAACTTTCTGTACGGTGGCTTTTTTCCCCACCCTCTCCATTCACTTGTGGGTGAATGCTCCTGTAACTAGGGATCTACCAACAGACATGGGGTATTAACCCCAAAACTCCTTGGAATGCAAAGGGATGGCAATCCCACAAATTGGCTTGAACAGTGGCCCATGATGGTAATACTACATCTTGAACAACCGTGAGGCACAAGCAGATGGCTGTAACTTGCTCTTGAGCAATACAAGTGGAAACACTTGTGTAAAATGTGTACCGGTCAACTTCACTTTAGTCTCCTCCTGGATAGCCTCATTCCCTATTTGAAAGTTATCTTCAGATGTAGAAGCTAATTTAGCAGTAAAGCAGAGTTAACATACACCACAGATTGCTCCATTTCTAGGTGGTAACTTTTTTGCCTCTTGTACAAAAGTTGTATACTCAGACAGGCTTGTCCAGTAGCCTGGTCCACTGAGCCATTCTGTGGGCTAGCCTACACAAGGGTGCATGTGGTTTAGAGCACTATATTCAGAGCAGCTGTCAGGCATTTCCTAGTCACTGGTAATGCATCTCACTAGCCTGTTAACACCAATCTCTTCTTGCACTTATGGTGTAATTTTTTTCTTCTGACTAGTACCTGAATTCTGGGCTATTTGGCTGGCACGACAAGGCTATAATTCAGGGTGGGAGAGACCATGAAGCAGGGACACAAACATTTGAACTGGATAACCAAGGATTCCGCTCTACCATTGAAGAGGCAAGTAACAATCCAGGGATGGGGGGGGGGGGCATGTTTCCTTACTTAAATTCCATGCCTAAGGTGAGCACAGACTAGTATTCTAGAGCCTGGTAGCAATAATAAAGTGGCACAAACAAGGGAGGTAACAGGTCTAGGGATGCCACAGTGTTGCTTCTTACTGGGCTTTCCAAAGTCCACTGCTCTTCAGAGCTTTCCTACCATGTCTCAGAGTGCAGCTTTGCAGATCTGTTAATACCTTCACTCATACAACTATTATCTGAATCTTCCTTTCCCCACTGAAGAGACGACTACCAAATCTCCATAGCTTCATACCTTTCCAATATTAAGATGTGGTGATCCTTCCTTCCAAGCTGAGAGCATATTCCTACTCCAGGCAAGGAGCAGCTTTCTAGCATTGTGTGCTAACTCCTTCCACATAATACAATGTTATATGGAGAAGTCTATGCCTTTCTCTAGGATAATGGAGTTCTCCCTCATGAGGTAGACTTGTCCCTCTGTAGCAAAAGGTCACTGAGTACAGGGTCCCAAAGGAAAGTCTCTTGGGGGCAGGAGAAGAGGATGCTATCTGGGGCACAGGTAGATCTCTAGGGGTGTGACTTAAACTCTCTCTTCTTTTGAACTGCAGGATGATGGCAGACATTCATACACACCTACAAAATACTCTGCCAGAGAGTGAAGATGCACCATACAAGTTCTTCCTGGCTCATGGACCTAAATTTCCAACCTGCTGTAGAAACAGGAAGGTTCCAAGCACTATCTCTGGTGGGGTGGGGGGTGTCAGCATTACAAATGTAAACGATTCTGAAATCCCTTGGATGGTGCAAACTTTGTCATTTCATACAGCTGAGAATTCCTTGTCTGCACCCTGAATAAACGCCATCTACACTATAGAACTACAAAAGTAGCCACAACTGGGTTCATTTTTCCACATTCTGGAGGGAGGTGGCAGCACCAGGTGCATCCTGGCTAACTTCTTGGTGGAAGAAGTGACACCACCTCCCTCCTTGAAGAATATCAGTGCTGTAATAAAACAAAGGCCTGATCCCTCAGTGATGCTTAAATTGTGCACCACTCTCCTCTTCTTGAGGACTAGCTGCTCCTTCCAAGGGAACATGAGACAGACTTCTATCAACCCAAAATAACTCCTAGATGAAGGGCCTCTTGACCTAGCAAGAGTTCTGATTAGGTATTCAGTGTGAATAATGCCCCAGCTCTCCCTGACTCAAGCAGAAATCCCCCTGTGAGATAGGAAAATTTTATTGTAAGCATGCCTTTGACTTAATGTTTTAAGTTATGTTTTAAACTCTCCTACTTGTATCTTGGCTTGCTACTGAGTCTGTAGCTGCAGTGCCAAAACATTTGTCTTCTGATGGTTGCTGTGACTAGGAGGCTTAAGATACCTGGTTTCTGTAACTCTGAACCAAGGGCAGTCTTGTGACTGCTTAAACTAGCTGAGCTCTCTGAGCAGGGAGGATGTCAGACCATCTCACTCCCAGATTCTCTTGTAGCAGTACTAGTGCAGTCTCTAGGCAACTGCCTCTCAAATAGCTCCTTAAATGAGCGAAGATAAGATTTCCCATCTCCGTTTCCTAGAAGCTTTGCTGTGGGGCGCAGACCTCCCTCCTTGGTCTGTCACTTCCTGCTTAGGCAAGCCCTCTAGAAGCTGCTAGGAGCCCTCACTTGGGCAGGCTTTCCAGGCTCCCCTTTTAGCCAGAGGACACTCTTCCCTTTAAGAGTTACCCATGACTCTTCTCTGGAAGAGTAACTCTTCCATCTTGTAGGTCTGAGCAAATACAGAAGATCCAGCCCAGACTTGCTTTCACCTGCCAGGTGGACTCCTGCCCTAGTTAGCTTATTTGGTGGCAGTATCCCTGGGATGTGGAAATAGTGTCAGCTTGACTCACTATAAGGCCATGTCTCCTTAGCTGACATGTCCTTGAATGATAGGCACTTCCAACTGTCTGAGAAATGTCCCCTGTCAAACTAGGGTCACAGAAGCCAACAAGCATGTTCTGAGGAAGTGGAGAACTTCAGACTGGTGACCTAGATCAAGAGGGGTGATAGTCCAGTACTTGGAATGCTTCCACTCTTAAAGGAATCTCCTCTTGTGCTCTTCAGAGAAACCACTTGATTACCTAGGTAATGGTGCAGTTACTTCTGCATCATGGACTGCTTGCATTTCAAACTCTCAGCAAGCCTGTCCTTTCTTCTGAGGAAACTACTTGGCTAAACATAATTATACAGAAGAATCTGCTTGCCTTAGAAACTGACTCCTATTGTAGTCCTCAGGCTCCAGGCCGGGGGAGGGGGGGGAAAGGGAAGAGAAGCAAACCATATGAGGCTGAATGAAATAGGAGTGGACTGTCGCCCTACTACAAAGTGCCTGCTGCTGACAGCTTTCTCTGCCACCAGCAGGATTTTTCCCCCCCTCACAGCAAACTGGTTTAACTTGTGCCCCTTTTTTATATGCATATCTCATATTTGTGGCAATTATTTCAGAGAATGTGTGTACTTTGTGTGATTCTGAATAAATAGTCTAAGAATAAACTACTCTGTTGGCATGTGCTTATTGAGAGAGGTCTTAGAGTGGGTGAAGGGTAGCCCGAAGCTGACCGGCTAACAATGTTCCAGATTCACCTCCTTAAATGAGGGGCCGTCTATGGCAGCTCTTAACTAAAAGAGGCTTTATTAGTAGTGCTGTCTCCTTCCACAGAATCCTCTGCTCCCCACCATGGCAATGCACCCACCCCATACTACAGCAGAGGGGGCTGAAAGGAGCTTTGCAGCCAGGCATTCTATTCCTCCTTGAGCCAAGAATATCAAGCTCTGCAAAGCATTTATTGTTCACCAAATCTTTAGCTGACCATGGCCCTTTGCAGGGAAAACCTGTGGTGCTGGGAGTTTACAGTATTCCTGGTGACAAGTAGCCTAAGATGTCAGCACTTGAACAAACAGGGTACCTAAGAACTTTCTGGGGCACATATAAGGCTTATTGTAGTTGCACAAGGAAACATCTAGCAAGCAGCTGTAAAGATGCCCCTTCAGCAGGAACGGGATGGGGATGTCTATCTCATAGAACTGGAAGGGACCCTGAAAGGTCATTGAGTCCAGCCCCCTGCATTCACTAGCAGGACCACATACTGATTTTTTTGCCTCAGATTCCAAAGTGGGCCCCTCCAAGGATTGAGCTCACAACCCTGGGTTTAGCAGGCCTATGCACAAACCAGTTATCCCTTGGCCCAATGATACACCCAACTTTCCTCAGAGTCAGAGGAAATCTGGACCCTCCTAGACCCAGTTATGAATCACACCCAGGGCTGCCTGTGTTCTGCCTGTTGCCCAGTAAAGCAGGAGAAATGCTGGTGTTGATGAACTGTCCTTTTTAAAGATGGCTCTGGCTAGAGATGAAAGGTACTAAAGGAGAAGAGACAAAGCAATTCAGTTCCCTAACTGCTTTACTGAGCTGTCAGTTCCCTGGAACAGCCAGAGATCCAGGTGTTTTAGACAGTGACTCCTAAGATCAGTGTGAAACCACAATCTTGCAGTAATATAGGGAGCGAGACGGGAGGGCACTAGCTATAGCTGGCTGCTGCATGTTGAGCGAGCCAGCCAGGGGCATTTGGGGGATAGGAGAGAGTCTGGTGCCACCAGTGGGGCTGGCTGGGGGACTCTGGTGCTGTTTGGAACTGGCAGCAGGGGGTGCCCAGTGCTACACAGGGAGGCAGCTGGGAGCTGACAGCAGCAGGGTGAGCCTGGCACCATAGGTGCCAACTTCCCCTCTTCCCAGTGGATGCTTGACCCCCTGACCCTGCCTTTACCCTGCCCCCATTCCACCCCAAGTCCTTGCCTCTTCTCCACCTCCTCCCCTGAATGCAGTGTCCCTGCACCCCCCCCCTCCCAGAAAGTCTTAAGACCCACTAAACAGCTGTTGGCAGTGGGGTGGTGGGAAACACTGGAAGGGAGAGGGAGGAGCAGGGATACAGCACACACAGGAACATTGGGGGGAGAAGGAGGCAAGGAGGAGGGAGCTTGGCTGCCAGTGAGTGCAGTGCATCCAATAATATTTCCCCATGGGTTCTCCAGCCCTAAAGCACCCACAGAGTCAGCACCTATGCCTGGCACCATGCATGAAGCCTGCTGGTGGGCTGTGGCCTGCAGGCGAGAACTCTAGCCTGGGTGTTTGAGTCCATTCCTGCTGTCTTTGGAACAGATCCAATTTGCAGAGGGGAAATATGGGGATGTTGCAGGACTGGGAAAAAGGGGAGCTCCCTAGAACAGAGAAATCTATCACCCATCTTTGCTTAGGTCATCATCCTCTCTACCAGGCGTATGCTTTTTCAGGCTGTACTGGCCCAGATTAGCATCACAACCAAAGCACATCGGCTCGCCTTAGCCTCACTATACCTAGTAAAGAGAGGAATGGTGGGGAGGGTGCTAGCAGCCCAAGGGGATCAGAGTAACCCTGCCAGGCCTAACACACCTTCAGAGGGAATTCCAGGTCAGCCTCTGGGCATCCTTGGTTTTACCTGCCCTGAGCCCATGAGGCTGTGGGAGGTGCTGTTTGGGGGCTGGCATCCCTCAGCATAGCCCCTCCCCCAATGAGGTTCCAAATTGGGCAGAAGTATCATGGTTAAGCCTCATACACTGCCTCCAGTGCAGCTAATTGGGGCATGCTTGGCTTGGCTCCCAGGGCTTGTGCTGCTTCTGTGCACCTCTCTCCAGACATTCCCTTGGTGATTTGCAGAAATCCTGCTTCCTCTTCCTTCCCCAAATAGTATCTGCAGGAGGGGAGGTAGGGCTGGCTGCTGGCCTGAGGTGGTCCAGCAGCCCAGGCAAATAAAACCTTCAAAGCAGAGGAAAGCCATTTAAGTATGGAAATATCTTCCTGCATCAGCTCTCTCTTCTTCCCCTCTAGGCATGTGTCCAATGACCATGGCACTGTCTTCTTTTTAAGCTGCATCTCTGGGGCCTGATTTCTGCTCTTCCACCACAGTAAAGCAAAAGACCACCTGGTTGTGAATCCATTCCTGTACCATTAATTGTCCAGTAAAGGCAGGGAAACCCCACCTGGCCTCTCTGCCCTGCCCACAGCTTTGCTATGTACAGATCACTGGGACGTTGTGTGCTATCCTCCCACCTTGTGCCCAAAGATCAGTTTTGAAACTCCCATTGGGACTTGCAGGTGTAACAGGAACAGAGGAGAAGTCGGATTTCCTTCTCCTCTCGCTTCTCTGCAGTCACTGCATAAGGAAACCACCTGAGCATAACTCGCTCCCCAGCAGCTCCGGGGGCTGAGAGGCCCTGGGGTTTACCCTGAGAACAGAAGAGAGAAACATCCCATAAGGTTCTGAGTCTGGACGGCTCCTTTGCATTCGCCTCTGAGCTCTAACTTTCCCTCGACAACAAGCTGTGTCCTTCCAGTGGGCAGGAAACCAAGTCAAGAGCTCATCCCCACCCCAACCTCGGGGCAGACGCCTCTCGCTACAGAGAGATTAAGAGCAGGTGGATAAAATACTGGGACTCACCTCTGTTCTCCTCACCAAACCTTCTGGCCAAGGGCAGCCTGCCTTCCTCCTGCATCCTCTTTACCACCCCGACCGAGGTCTGCAGGAGGAGAGGCAGGGCTGGCCCATGGGCTGCTGGGCTCAGTTGAAGCAGCAGCCCAGGCCATAAAACCTGCAGAGCAGAGAAAAGCCATCTCAGTAGGGAAATATCCTCTTCCTGCACCAGCTCTCTCTTTCCTACACTAGACAGGATCCCTGACCTCGCCACCACCAGCCAGAACGCTCAGTCGCACCAGGAAAGGGTCAGGGGTAGGCTGGCATTCTACTGTGGTTTCCATAGTCATTACTTTGTACTTGGGGGATTGGTAAGGATTTTTGCTGGGTTTTGAAGGAATTACATTGGACTGCAATTGTTCCAACAGGGGGAGGGCCCTCTCCCCTCATCTGAGTCTGTAATCTGCTCCTGCAGAATGATAACCCTTTACCTTCCGCATGTCTTGCATGTGCGCCTTCCAGGATCCCCCTGAAAGGTCCCAGGCTGCCTCCTCCATCTGGATTAGGAGATCTGCTGTACCGACATGGATAGAGGCACTCAGCACCTGGGGAAACAAACATGGAGCCATGGATGCTGTCCTTCCTTCCAGGGTTAATGGTGTAGTGAAGGAGGGGGTTTGGGGCCCAGCTCGATGAGCAGCCCTTGCTTGGGGTTCGTAAGGGACCCTGACCAGTGCTCGCTCACCAGAAGCTGAGGCAGTTGTTCCTCAGGGGAAGTCATCACGTTTGTTTGATTTATTTACCGCCAGTCTCTCTGTTTGGAAGTGTCCTGGCATTGCCACCTATTACCTCAGTGACTGGCTGTGTCATTCCAGGGGGCAGGAAAGAGACCCCAGAGCCGAGCCCACCCCTCCTCCCGGAGCCACAGCTCTCTCTAGCCAGAAGGGCTTAGCATGGCTGTATAACGTTACTAGCATGTGCCTACCTCTGTTGTCCTTGCCAGAGCTTATGGCCAAGGGCACCCAGCCTCGCTGTCGCTTCATCCTTCTGAGCAGTAGCAGTATCTTCAGAGCACGAAGCGGGCATGGAGGGTTTCTGCCACCAAACTGCTCCGGCACCAAGGCCACAAACTTTCTGAAGAGGAAGGTTGTCTCAGTACCGAGACGCCTCCTCCCTCACTTCCCTGTGCTGCATAGTAAACCGGGTGTCACCTCCCGTACCCTGTGAGAGTGCCCTGGCCTTTCCCACCCACCAACCCTGCCCCAGCCGCAGGGAGGCCCCACTGGACGTGCTTCTGACACACATGCAGGGCTGGATTTATACCTTATGCGCCCCTAGGCACAGCATGTTCAGTGCTTCCCGGCAAGGGCGGTGGGTATAATAGGCTTGGGAAAGGCTAAGCCTTCCCTGGAACAGCTGCTGCCAGGACATCTGAGCCGTGGTGACCCTGCCCCTTCCCCAAGGCCCCCACTGCCTGTTGCTGCTGCCTGCCGGTAAGTCCTCCACTCCATCACCACTCCCCCTCCGAAAATCCCCACTGCTTGTCCCGTCCCTCCTCCTCTAGAAGCCAGCAGCGGGCGGGTAGGGGTGTCTGGAGGGGGAGTGAAGCAGCTCAGGCGGGTGCTTGGGAGGCTGGCGACTTTGCCCAGCGCCGGCACTCGGGGGGCCAATGGCTCTTCTCAGGGGGCCGGTGCTCAGGGGGTTCCATGCCAGTTCTTAACTAAAGGAGGTTTTATTAGCAGCATTCTCCTCCCACAGAATCCTCTGCTCCTCACCATGGCAATGCCCCCACCCCATACTACAGCAGAGGGGGCTGAAAGGAGCCATTTCATAGCTCTGCCCCAAGGCATTCTAGTCATTCTTAAGCCAAGAATATCATGCTCTGCAAAGCATTTGCTGTCGGGAAAATCTGTAGCTGACTGTGACCCTGCAAAGGGGAAACCTGTGATGCTGGGGGTTTATGGTATTCCTGCTGACAGATAGTGACTTAACATCTTAAACTACTTGTCAGCAGCTTG